TCATTCTATGGAGGAAGGAGCAAAGCTCAGAGAAGATGCGTGGTTGCCCAAGTTCATGCAGCTAGAGAAGAAACAGCCAAAATTCAAATCCAGGTGTGGCCACAAATCAGGAGTTCTCAGAGCCAGTGCCTGAGTGAGCCCATATAGAAACCAAGATCCCAGTGCTCTGTCTGTGAGGTCAGGTTGCCCTGTAAAAGGGAAGATGTTATTTCTTGCTAATGAGGCAAATAAATAGGAAACCTAACTTGTAATAAACCATTTCTACTAACAGTACAATGTAAATATTACTGTAATTAATAATTTTGCGAAAATGTATCTCTGCTGTATAGACACTGCAGTTGTCCTTTAAAAACCAAATAATTACAAATAGGCAGAGATCTGCGTGAGTCAAACACAGAATTTTATTACAATTACAAAAAACAACCACAACCTTCTTTCTCTAATAAACATGCCTGGAGAGCTAATACCAAACAACCTAAAGAAATAAATCAATGACCTAACACCTTTTGCTTTAGCTTGTGGCTTCTATGTGTCTGTCCTGCAATTTGCTATAGATTGGCAGGTCGGAAGGGACACTGGTTCAGCAGCCTGCTATCCGTGGGGGAACAACAACTTTTTCCACTCGGTGTCTTGGAGGACCCCTCAGGAGGTGTGGCTGAAGGTTCAGCATCAAAAGGCTTTTAACACCCAGATTTTCTCCTGAATCTCTCTCAAATCCAGCAATAATGAAGCAGTTATGTGTTCTGCTGTAATAAATTGAATCAAAGTGAAACCGGTACTCCCTTCCTTCTAGCGAGCAGAGTGTATAAAGGTTTAAACAGATGAGGACGGCAGTGCCCCAATCAGAAGGATGGGTGCTCCATCTTTTGGTAGAGAGCAACTCTAAGTGTTTTCCCTCTCCATTTGCATTAGAGATTGGATTGCCAAAGAGTCTACGCATTATTGGTGAACTTCTAATCTTTTACCTGCTAAGTACCAAGCCCAGCATTAGACTCCAGAGGTCTCAGGATGAACAGGACATGGATTTTGTTCCTAAAGAACTTTTACTGTCTCTGTTAGCTTCTTTGAATTCAGAATACTGTTGCCTTATTAGCCTGTTTTGTTTCGTTTAGGGTACTTGTCAATTTCAGATATTGTCTTGTTTATTTATTAATATACCCATCCATTTCTCCAACCGGAATGAAGCGCTGCAGAGGCATGCATCATGTCTGCTTTGCTCATCGCTGTGTTATCAGAGCTGGAATAGTGCCTGACACACTGTAGACATCCCTAAAGAATGAATAATCTACAGCTAACTAATGTTGGCAGTGTGCTGATGAGGTGTGAGCAGTTTGAGAACATTATGTCTTTTTTTCTCTAAGGACACAAATTACAATGACTGAGTTCAAAGAACGGACACTAACTCACTCTGTACCCTTGTATTTTATTAGAGGGAATTTTGGAATATCTGTTAAAACCCATCTGAAGCTGCAGTGTCCTCATAGCTAGAGTGATTTCCACAAATTCTCCATGGAGCAAACCGCTTTTCCAAGAATCTCTTTGTACCACTCTCTTGAGTTAAAAAAGTAGAAAAACATTTTCACGTGGATGAGCCATTCAAAACTCTTCCTAACCCACTGTCCAAAAACATAGACTGCAGCATTCTTACCTCGAATGACACAGAATTTAAACTTGCCAAGTGACTCTCAACAAAAACCTCACTGGAGAGCATCTTTACCATTTTGAGAAATTTTGCATTCAGAATTAGCTCCCACCCTGCACATCACTTCTGCAGCAAAAAGTCCATGTCCTGAGTCACCTTCTCTGTGTCCTGAATCACCTTTTCTGTGCCCATCGAGGAGTGTACATCTCCTTATGGTTTTTGACATTGGAGTAAGGAAATACACTGGTGATGGGGAATGTAATCATGTACCCTTGGCTGTTTGATTTATGCTCTTGATTCTGCACATAGAGCATGCACATGTACATGCATGCATGTGTGCATGTGTGTGGGTGTGAGTGGAGGGGAGCGGGTGGCCCTTAGCAGAATGAGATCCTATAGTTTTTCTGCACTGAACATTTTCTGCATTTGGCTAATCCAGATGGAAAGAATACAATGCATTCTTTCTGGTTTTGACTGCTGAGAATGTTACAGTGAATTTCGTTATTTATATCCCTTTTTTTGGGACTATTAAACATGTCAAATTTGGTGTCGTTAAGAGGCACTCATAGAAAGTTTTTTTTTTTTAAGGTTTCTGTGTATAAGATTCTTCCATTGCCAAGTCATATAAAAAATTTCCTGAGTTTCAGTGTTGACAGATGGTGCTGCTGTGCAGCATAAGCAGCAATGTTCTCACGAGACTATTGATTTTGTTTGTGAAATATAAATCCCTAAACAGTGACGAATGGACCGGTGAGAAGTGCTTCTTTAATAATTCAATAATTTCATTAAATGATCTGGTCCTAAGTGAAAGAGCGGTGGTGAGAGACTTGGCTGCAGACTGCGTTTAAGTTTCATATATATGTGTATATATATATATATAAAGACCATGGGCCATTTTTGTTCATGTTTATCTATTTTGTTTGCTTCAAGATAAAGTGAAGTCTTTCAGCACATGAATTCCAAGAAATAGGGCAAATGACATCAGATTCCTTCACATGTCTCATAGCAGCCATTTTAAGCTCAGTCTGCCCAAATTCAAGGCAATGTTTTGGTTCATTTGCTTGTTAGGTAGCCTTGAAGACTGATTTATTTTGCCTGCTGCTATTTAGCTATGTCTTTTCTTAGCAGATTCCCATCTCAATGGAGCATAGTAAGTTTGTAGGGAGTAGAAACCAAGGTGATTCCAACACAGCTAAGAGGGGCATGTTACCCAGAGTCTTCTTTTAATGTGCCAGAAACAACAACCAACAAGAACTCCCAAGAAACAAATAGACGACCTGAAATGAAATTGCAGAAACTCCTGGAAACACAACTAGAATTAGGTCAAGTGTATCTTCGTGTATTTGTTGTTTATGTAAGACAAAGTCCTATCAAGTTCAATTGATTTTCTTTTACTTGCTTTACTTTAGAAAAGGTTTCAAAACATCAGCAAATTCCTGTATTATGTTTGCTCTTACAAGGGAAGTTATAAACCTAATGTTTTGTGTATTTAATTTATCTTAATTAGGGACTCCAATATTTTCAAAGAGATGTTAAAGTAATACAATTAACCGTTACAGAGAACATTTATACAATTTGTTTTGGGGGGGCAAGGCTTAGAAATAACAACCTGATATGCTAACGGATTCTAATGGGCAATAGCTATTAATTAAATAAATAACCCATTAGCCTGAGAAGTGAAGCGTCCGTACCAGGACCGTCTACTACCATTGTTGAAGGATGGCAATTAACTTACAGTTTTTAGCAGCGGCACAGATATTTGGTTTTGCAGCTATTTGTGTCCGCTATGCCAAATTAATTAAATGAAACCAGCAACTTCAAAAAAAAATCTCTATAGTGTGCGCAGTGCTGTGCTAAGCACTTGGATATAAGAGAAAAAAGTAGACAACATGATCTGGATTCTCAGGGACAACATAGTATAGTTGGGAGGGCAAGACATCAGTGCATTTAAATTACCGTGGTTGCACATGTTGATGTATTAGGAATGTTTTAAGGTATTATGTCATCAATTCTTTTACTTTTATCACTGTCCATCATGACTTACAAACATTTGTTGAGGAAAAATAATGCTGGGCTAGGGTCTGGGGATACCAAGAAGGTACAGCAAATCCTAGCCTCCGCACAGGAAGCCTGTGAATTAATTTGGAAGGTTGATTGCTAAATGGAATCTTTGCCAAAGCAGAAAGTCCCACAGATGGGATTGGGAGAGAGATCTGAGCAAGTTCATGGAGAAGGAGAACTGGAACTTGACATGCAGGTAGAATACGACTGAACAGATGAGGGGGCGGTGATGTCTCAGGTGCGGACAATGGCTGGAGGAGCCAGCTTCCTTGTGGGGTGTTGGGAGTGAGACTGGAAAACAGATCTACGTAACTGGGACCACATTGTGTGGGTCCTGGGGTCTGAGGAATTTGGACTCAGCTATCCCTAGGAGAGGGGCAGAATCAAAGTGGTCAGAGGAAGACTGATCAGATTAGAGGATGTCAGGGAGAATTGTGGTAGAGAGCAGGGGTTAGACGTAGCAAGACTGGCCTTGGTAAGGGGATAAGAGATGAGCATGCTTTCCTAAACCAGGTCACAGTCTTCTTACGGGAAAGCGCAGCGCCTTGCTTTTCCTTTGTTTGCTTGCTTACATTCAGTCTGTAATGTATAATGCGATATAATAACACCTTGTAGAGTCACTAACTTATGAGACTATCTAATGACAGATGCTGACCTCTGCCACTGATAACTGTATTTGGCTTCCTGGAACAAGAGTGTCTCATGAATAAAACAAGTTAGAGAAATCTAAGGAGATTCGAGCAGAGGTCACTCTATAGTAAGGTGATAAATTTTGTGACTGATAGCGAGGCCTAGGCTAGTCTCAAGCAATCATTATTGAATTACCTGGTGATAACAACAGGAGGTGAACAATATACGCATTTCAAGCACAATGCAAATGCAAATTACTAGCTTCCTGGAGGTCTGATCAAATAAAACTTAGGTTTTAATTAAACTGTGACCAAATTAATTAAAAGTTACTATATTGTGTGGTAGATAATTATCAACTAGAATGTTATTTATTTTGCTTCAGCACCCTGATTTCTTTATCTTCCTCTTCTGAAAATGTGAAAATCCTTTGTCTTTTAGTTCAGTCATAGGCAACAAAAAAAAAAGTTAGCAGAATGTATTAAATATTAATTTAAGCAAGATCAGGGAAGCCTGGATTTTCCTTTCTCTAGCTATTTTTTAAGTTCTCAAGATAAGTTTCCCTGTGGCACATATATTTTTTTCATGACCTTTTAATAAAATATGGTAACAATGGCAACTAATAATGTTAATAATAATAATGATACCTGTCATTTCTCTCCATTCTCAGGATCATTTTGTGCTGAGTGTTTGCAACTGAATCATAGCTGTCTGTGCTACAGGATCGTCCCTGGGTTTTATTTATCTTGTTCAGCAAATAAAGAAACCTTTTAATTCAATTGGTTTCTTGGCTGATTTGTCTCTCGGTGTGATTAATCAGTGGGAACTAGGGGCCCAATTCACGTTTCCACTTAAGTCGATTGAAATGATGAGTGCAGTTGTGGTTATTTAGGAGATAAAGCGAGGTCACTGACTGAACGATCATTTCTTCTTGTTTTTGTCCTTTAACTTTATTTTCCCCAGCAGGCTTTCTGGTAACTGATTCTCTTGGTTATGGAAGGCTACAGCGAGTGGGAAAGGTAGGTAGCAATTTCTCTTCGGTAGACAGTTTCCATTCATTTTGTTATTTCTCATCAAAAGCTGATGTATACCCGAAGGAGATCAAAGTGTAGGTAAATGATCAGCAATTTGTCTCACTTCATATCTGATGCTTTCCAAAAAGCACCCTGTGGGCAATATCTAACAGAAGTTTAATGGAAGTCTAAAGTTGGAAGAAAATTTGGGGGCTGTGCCGTTTCCCCCCAAGCTCTTCCCTCACCCCCATCCAGTATCGTATAGGCGCTGCTATTTCTCTTCTCAAGGTGTCCAGACAGGGCAATTCTGCAGCAGCTTTTAGGAAATCCATTTCAATGTTGATATCCCTCATGGCCAACGGAGAAGTAATTTGGCTCATATATAATCTGGTTCCTCCTCCTCGGCGTTGAAAGCCCTTAATGACCGGTGTCTTCTCCCCCTGCAGGGCTGAGGGTATTCTGTCAAAACGCCATGATGGATTAAGCGCTTGGTGACCTTCTATGACTTTTTGCAGGGCAAGGAGAGCAGAATGAAAGGGTGGCGAAGAGGCTGGGGGATACTCCTATTTGCCACACTACCATCCTGGCAGCAGGAGGAAGATTCCCAGAGGAAAAACTGAATGAGGCACTCCCTTCTGCTTCCCCTCCTCTCCTGCCAAGGCCCCTCCCTCTGGGAAAGCAGTAGCCAACACTTGGAAAAGAGGGGCAGCCCTGGTAGCCAGGGATTACATTCCCCGCTTTGAAAGGCTGACAGAAGGAGAAACTATTCAGGAGAAGGAGAGGTTCTGTCCTCTGTGCTCGGGAGTTGTTGTTTACAGGATTCCTGCAAGTTTAATGAAAGGGAAACTGACCCTCTTGCACATAATACTGCCTTTGACATGTGGTACAAGTTTGAGTGCTTTTAGTGTTAAATATTTGTGTGCATTTTTCATACTTGATTTGAGTTCTCCCCACAAAACAGTTAAAAAATGAAAAGCCTTCACTCTATTTCAAGGGACTTGGTTAGAGGCCGTGACAATTGTGTCAAGGCTTTGCCTACTTGGAAACTTCTCAGATAAAGCCAATGTCTCTTCATTGTAAAGGAGCATTGTTTAAACTACCCCGTATAACAAAAACGACTTTCCGTTTGTCCAGAAGTAACCTCAGAATTATAGATGGGGGAGGATTGCAGACAACCCTGTGGCCAGCGTTACAATGGATTTTTAACACATGTATCTAAAAGAAACACATCGCCAAATCATATTTTAAATAATAAAGCTGAAACAGTCTATATTTGTGCTACCCCCCCCCCCCACCACCGGCAGTTCTATCAGGAGTTACCCTGACTAGAATGTACTGTGTGTCCTGTCTCCCCATGTGGGTTGAAAGCCAGATCACGTCATTCTTTCCAATCCCCAGCACCGGGCACGGTGTCTGGAAATGCGTAGACACTGGTGAAACAACTGTGGGATGAATGGATAAGCATAGATATTGTCTTTTTTTCTAACAGGGTTTTCTGAAAGACTGGCGGATTCTTCTTTATACAAGCTTTGTTCTACTGGCTTCTTGGAGGGAAAAAATGGAAGTACAGGTTTTAGACTGGGCACAGTGGCTCAGGCCTGTAATCCCAGCACTTCAAGAGGCCGAGGCAAGGGGATTGCCTGAGCCCAGGGGTTTGAGACCAGCCTGGGCAAGATGGCGAGAACTCATCTCTGCAATAAATCAAAAAATGAACCCAGCATGCTGGCACACGCCTGTAGTTCCAGCTACTTGGAAGGCCGAGGTAGAAAGATCGCCTGAGCCCAGGAGACTGAGGCTATGGTAGCTGTGATTGTGCACTCCAGCCTGGGCATCAGCGTGAGACTCCAACTACAAAAAAAAGGAAAAGAAAGTGCAGGTTTTAGTTTTCTGATGAAGGCCATAGCAATTTATGAATGCAGAAAGGCAAAGAGGAAGGTAGGGTAGGAAGTGGGCAAAAACACTGTGAATCTGGCTGGGCTCGGTGGCTTAGCCTATAATCCCAGCACTTTGAGAGGCCAAGTTGAGTGGATTGCCTGAGCCCGCGGGTTCAAAACCAGTCCGGGCAACTTGGTGAACCCTTGTCTCTACAATAAATCAAAAATTAGCCGGGCGTGGTAGCTTGTGCCTGTAGTTCCAGCTGCTTGGAAGGATCGCTGGAGCCCAGCATGTTGATGCTGGGATGGTCGTGAGTATGCTACTGCACTCCAACCTGGGTAACAGAAGTGAGACTCCAACTCAAAAAAAAAATACGGTGAATTTTGCTGGAGTTTTTTGAACTTTTACACAGGTTGGTTTTTGCTGGGCTCTGGCTGACACAGATTTTGGGTGGGTAGCTGAGTGAGGGTCTGAAAAGAAGTTCATCTCATTGTTTAGTGTGCAGAAAGCTGGAGGTATGAGGTACAAAGTCAAACCAAGGGGAAAATGCAAATGAAAGACGATTCCTTGAGCACACTCTATAGCTCTTCATTTCTCCGGCCAGCTTAAACTTGTAGCAGTTTTCTCTCTGGACGAATATGTCATTTATTTTGGTTCTACTAAGTCACACACCACTGGAATGTGATTGGTATTCTTACCAGCCGAGAACCATCTGCTCTTTTCTAGACAACAGCTATTCTGTCCTGGCCCTCACCACCTCCTGCTTCTTTCCATTTTCTCATATATTTTCAATCGTATGCATTCTTTTCTCTGTGAATAAGAGTCAGTAAGCGCCTGAAGAATTATCTCTTTGGATACATTTTTTTCCTCAGGCATTGGAATTTTAAATTGTTGTTTGTTCCTTTTCAGAGTTTTGATCTTCTGTATGTAAAATAAAATGTTTATCATTTTAACATTGGCAAAGGGAAATGCAGTGTTCCGGAAAAGCTTCTCTCTATTCCTTAGATAAATTATGAGTCACTGTTTAACTGGTGACCATTTAATGCCATAATATTTCCTCTATTTCTCAAAAATTAGGTAGAAAATGTAAATAGTTTCCAAAGCGATAGATAACTGATCAAGAAGACAAATGGATTTGGCTGTAAATTTACCCCTGCTCTGCTCTGCGTGTGGCTGACAGGCTCCTCAGTGATATTCAAGGCAGGTTCAGGTAGAACTTCAAAGGTGCAAACTCATTTCCTGGCTGGTGTTGTTTACCTGGCACGTGTGGCTTTCACACCCATCTTGAAACTTCATTTCTCATCTCTTTATCCACGTGGTCTAAAGGAAACTTTGCCAGACTTCAAGTAAGGGGGTGCAGTTTCAAATCCACTTCCAGGGCAAGATACAAACCTCTTGGAACCTGAACTTCTTCATCTGGAAGATGTAATGAATGACACCTACAGTACAAAGGTGTTAGGAAGATTAACTGAGACAGCATACGAAAAACCTCAGAATTAGCTGCCGTTCAATATATGTTGGTTGAATTTTAATCTGCAATTACTAAAGCAAAGTCCAGAAATGAGATAATGAATCTGGATAACTCATCCTTCAATTAACTATTTGGATTCTTCACATGAAGAGAAAAGCTCAGGGATTCAGTTATCTTCATAATTATTCAGTTCTTCTCTGCATCTTCTAAACAAGCTTAGAATTTTCTGAGCAATCACACTCTTTCTGTAGGTGATTGCTTCCAGGGATGAAAGGGTTAAGGAATTTCCTGTTTCATTTTGCTAAAAAAAAAAAAAAAATTTTAATGGCACTACTAGCAGAGACAGAATCTAATGAAACATGTCAGCCTCACATCAAAATAAACTTGCTGTTATTATCCAACATTCTTTGGGTTTATTAAGATGTTATGAATTTAGTTAGCAGGATTTCCATCACCCCTCACTCTGTTTGTAGTGACCAAAGCATTAAAGGCTCCTGAAAACCACATATTAATCAACCTGCTCTTCTGCTTTCCAGTAATTGAGTTTCCCAGATGAAACAGTGTATCAACCTTAACCCTGTTCTATTCAATTAGAGCTTTTCTTTTACTATCCAGAACCATTTATGCCATTTTGTTATAAGACTGTTCATGCTTATGCTGTTAATCATAAAAAAAATTACAGTTGTTTTAACTAGGCATCCTTTAGTTTTCAGACTCTTTTAAGTCTTTGTGCCCTAATAATTCTTAGAGTCATCTAAGGTTTCATGCAATCTTTTCATTGAGCATTTTCATCTTGATGTAGAGATTTGCTATTCACTTATTAGTGACAAAAGGTGACATAAAAATATCCCCACCCTCTAGCATTCATGATCTATAATATATCCTCAGTCTTCCCAGACTTCAAACAAGTTCTCCTTTGGCTTGATTTTATTACATTATCAATTTTAGGTGTCATGATCCATTGAAATTAAATTCATTTAGTTGAAATCAATAAAATACCATACAGTTGCTGTCAAGTTTTGTTTTAAAATGACATCTTTTATGTAAAAAATGTAAGTGGTATATATTTTAAATCTTTGCTTTTTCCCATATTTATTATGAAATATCTGTTGAGGTCCTATTCTTGAAGGGTCTCAATAGGAAAAATAATAGCACACTTAAATGAAGTAATTGAAAGAGTTTTAATAAACAAACGACTTACAAAGGCGCAGGCAGGCTTGAGGGAAACAAGATGGTATGGGAATGCATTCCAGAGCTAGCCATCGCCCATCTCAGGCACGGAGCCAGGAGCAGGAGCAATCACTAGACCCCGAAGAGAGGATGGACTGACAGGAGCCGTGTCATTGTCGGAGGATATAGACAATCTAAGGTGACCTT